ACCTGCTGCAGCTGCTCCGATCGCAGGCCGAGGAGAGGGAGAGGGAGAGCGAGAGCAAACCCCAGCAAGCACCGAAGGCAGGGAGGGCAGCCAGCCCAGCACCCTCTCCTCGGGCACCAGCCCTGTCCCGACAGGGAGCTCAGTTTCTGGCGTGACAGGGACCTCCTACCCCCTCTCCCAGCAGTAGAAGGGAGCGTGCGGGACCCTGGGGAGGGGGCAGAGCGGCGAGAGGGTCCCAGCCTGCTCCAGCACCTCTGTACTCCTACCCCCTGCCCTCACCTGATCGTTTTCGTCGCTGAAACTGTTGCCGTACATGAAGCAGCCGCGCTTGGAGGCGTGCCCGTGGAGATCGACGTAGTAGGCCAGCCCACTGTCCTGGGGCAGGATGGTTTCAGGGAGAGGTGCTGGTGGAGGCCTCCTGGCTTCCTCCTCACAGTGCTCCACGGTGTGGCTTGAAGGGAGGATCCAGACAGCTTGGTCCTTGCTGCCCAGCTCGGCGGCAGGCGCTCCCGAGAGCTGGGGTTCCTGAGAAGGGCTGAAGTACGTGCCGGCACGCCAGGTGCCGGGTGAGTTGCGGAGGTTATTGGTTTTCTCCAGCTCCGATAGGGCTGCCTCCGGGGACGGGGCGCTGCCGCGGACGGAATGGTTGGAAGATTTTGTGCTTAGCGAGCTGGTGCCGAGTGGCGAGACGTACGTCCTCCAGTCAGGAGAGCCCGGCAGGACGCGGCTGTGAACGTGGTGGTAGAGGAGGACAGCTTTGGCCCCGTACACTGCGGGGTGCAGCTCGGCGTCGGGGTTGAGATACTGGCGGTTCAGGTTTACCCCACGGGAGTCAGTTCTGCAGAGAGAGCAGAGGAGACGTGAGGTCCTTCGCAGGGCGCCATCCATTCTGCAAAGGCAGACCCGACCTCACCTCGCGATGGCCGAGGCTTTGGGCTCTGTCCTGGAGTACAACTGGCCAAACCATCCCCTCGCAAGCAAGCGGGCGGAGACTCTGCCCCAAAGCAGCCGAGAACCTCTCTCCTGGAGTGGCACTTGCCTCAGCGAGACAGAGCCCCGAGTGATCCCTCTCCCTCCTCCCTGAAAGCTGGCCCAGCTCTGACACGCCAGGGAGAGCAAGGACGGGAGAGAGTCTGAGCGCCTCAAAGGCGCGGGGCGGCGTGGCTCGCCTGAGCTAGACAAGCCCCTATCCACGAGGTGACCTACGCAG